TGTTTTTTTACCTGTAAATTAGTGATAAATCCTCATCTTCACTCCAGTTTAACTCAACTTTTATCTGGCAAATTTTGTTTAAATTATTGAAGTTGCATAAATGAACACTAAAGAAGAAGGTTACTTTGTGATATTGCTACTGTTTGAAGATGCGTAGTCTCAACCTTTAAAACGTGATGCTGTCTGGCGCCACCATCTTCCCTGAGGGCAGCTTGGCTTTATGCTCTTTGGAAACAATGGCCATTTTGAAAGAGGGCCACTTAACTAAGAGGCTCCTGTGAACTCAGTCCCAACTAGAATAAAAGATGGTAGATATTTGGGAAAAGGGCTGTTCTTCATTTGTGAACCTAGTTTAAAAAAACCTGTCAACTAGAACAGCCTCCCAAAAAAAATGACTATTAATTCTAAAATAAAGATCTTCAAATGCAGCCAATGCACATGATTTTAGTGTGTTTTTAATGTTGAGAAGTTTGAAGAGTTTGTTTATTCTCAAATCGTTCGGGACAAAAAATTGTACTGATACAGGGTGCTAAGTTTCTTAAAGGGGAACTATTTTAAATATTTTTCACTCAAAAGTAAATTGGTTAATTTAGTTTATTTTCCTCTTGATCCTGTTCTAAAGAGAACTTCTCTGAAGAGTCCTTTAGTATCCAGGCTCAAATACCAGCAAAACCGAACATTATTTGATCCAGAATTAACACATCTCAACAAAGCCATATTTTTTTACACATTACATTGTCCCCATCACAAAGATAATTAAAATGGGTTTGCTCCACTATCAGCCTCTTGTCAGAATCAAGAGAGGCTAACTGGTCACAGCTTTATTTTCACTTGCTGTTCAACTTAATTTTAATGGCACAAGCTGTTTTAATGGTTGCCAGTTGCCAAGGAAACCGGTAATAGGGTATGGAACCTTCCTCCATTAGGGCTTCTGAATTCAGATTGGTGACTATGGCAAAAACCAAAAAGCCATTCCTATAACATTTAACCTAATGAGTTGGTGGCTTTCTTTCCAGTCCCTGGCAGCTTTTAACATAAAGGCTGAGGGTTGAATTGGGGCACTGAACCTAAAATATCCTCTTCCAGTCTGTCCAGGTTAAGCTGCACATTGGAGAGGGTAGCTTGCACAGCAGGTGCCTCTGGCATGTCCGTTCTGTTGGTAGACATGGGATTCTAGTCTCTAGAAATGGCAATCAGTCACTCTTTCACCAGCACAAAATTAACTGCAGGTCACTTTTTGTTTAAAGTGTGCTGGAGGATTTAGCCAAAGGATGACTGGGGGAAAGCTGAACTTCATGCTCAGTAAAGATCACAATTGTCCATAATCAAGTATCAGGGGGTAGCCATGTTAGTCTGTATCCACAAAAACAACGAGGAGTCTGGTGGCACCTTAAAGACTAACAGATTTATTTGGGCATAAGCTGAAGAAGTGTTGTTTTACCCACGAAAGCTTATGCCCAAATAAATCTGTTAGTCTTTAAGGTGCCACCGGACTCCTAATTGTCCATAATTTGTGGCTTGGTACTAGGGCCCAGCCATTGAGTTTCAAGGTCTTCTGATGCTGGATGGCCAACGAAAGTGTCAATGGATCCCTGCTTTCAGGGATACGTATACCCTGCCCAGTTCTGCACAGACCTGTTTCATAGAATCAGAGGACTCCAAGGAACCTCGAGAAATCTAGTCCAGTCCCCTGCACTCCTGGCAGGACTAAATATTATCTAGAGTTTGTAGTTTATATTTGGCACCAGTGCAATAAAACATGTTTGTCTTGTAACAAAGTGATGATAAATAGTGGATGTGATTAGAAGGTTGAGTAGGTCATTTGACTGTACCACCTGATGAAAACATCAGCAAAAAACTCTTATTTTGAAACCTGCATGTGTTTTTGTTGTTAGACTCTTCCACTTCCATCTGTATGAAAAGATCACAATAAATGGGTGTGCATCTCTCTTAGGAAAATGTAGCAAACTTGGCTTGGTAGCTTTTCAATGCTTGTGTCAACTACAAAGCATGGGCTGCTTCTAAACAATACATTTATCAACCTCTGACACTGTGAAGTATTCAAAGAAAAGAGAGTTCATTTACCATGTTTTCTGTTTAAAGTTTCTGAGTTTAGTTGGCTCAACAGTAGATGATTGTGAGTTAACTTTGGAACTTTGCCTTGCAATGTCAATGTGCGTGAGACTTGTGATTGAGCAATAATTGGCTTTAAAAGGGGGTGGAGGAAAAGATGGGTTTGGGGTGGGGCGGGTGAGTGAATAACAGAAAACTGTGCTTGAAAGAATTCTGTGGCTATAGCAGTGTGAGATGAGGAGTGGAAAGAAGGCTCCTGTTTGCTAGGATACTATATTCTCTTGTCAGGGTCATGATTGTCCATAGACTAAGTTTAGCACATTCGTGTGCTTTGTACTGCCAGGGAGCATGTGCCTTTGACACATCACTTGCATTTTAATTATAACTTAATATTTTTCTGGCTTGGGCAACGCTGCTGTCCAGATCTGCACAAGCAGTGTCTGCTAAATATTACTTAATCTAGTAGAGTGCACTGGGACCTATTGAATTGCTCTTGAGTGGGGTCGTTGCTTTATGAAGAAGAATGAACATCCTTCCAGCAAGGATGGTTTCGGTTCTGAGCTAGATTGTGCTTTCTTCACTGCCTTGATGCACTACCCATCTACCTAGACTCTCCAATCTGGGCTCAACAGGGGGAATCCAATTAAGTGAAATATATGTAAGGATTTTAGTGCCCTAAATATTCCCTACTTTTCCCCCTGTAATGCCCACCTTTCTATTCAGATTCTGAGCAAGGAGTGAAGGAGAGCCTTGTTTAGTGCCACTTGTCATTAAACCTGTTGACTACATATAAGCAAATTTGAACTGTAAAATACTAAATAGAAACTCTGCATTGTGCATCTGCTGCTTCATTCTGGGAACAGACATAGCTTTGTCCTCTTTCTGGCGGTGAACTTGGAAGAGACGTAGCCCCCTCCCTTTGCTCCTACTGAGATAATAGGAGTTAAGGATGCTCATCTCAGGACCAGTCGTAGTAAAACTCTTCCATTGCAATCTTGCAAGGATTCTGTCCCATCTGTACTGCTCTTGGGAGAAGCATTAGTGAGAGTTTTTTTTTTTTTTTTTCCCCTTTCCATCCTCCTCCTTTCCTTTGGTACTTAGCCTGGAGATTTGTGGGGTGTCTGTCACGTGCAGTATTTAGCCAGAAGAGTGAGCTGTGGTTATGCTTCATCAGCACTCCAAACATCCAGCAACATCTGGGTGGCACTTCTCAGCAGGGACCTTGCCCCCCAACATGGACTCCGCTACTGCCGTAGCGAGCAGTATTAGGACAATGGAGTTCCTGCTGTTCGCTTTCCAGAGTGGCCACTGCTCGAATCTCCTTCTGAGCTCTGCTGCTTCGGCTAGTGCTAGTCTGTTGCTGCCCTTGCTCCAGTTGGTGTGAGGTGCATGAACATACATAATCGATGTACATATCGTAACGTTTTCCCCTCAGTGGAAAGGATACAGTTGAAGTTCTTCATGAAGTATTTGTAGGGATGGGTGCATCTCTAGATCTCAATCTCTTCAGGGTTGCCAGGTGTCCAGTTTTTGACCGGAACACCCGGTCAAAAAGGGACCCTGGCATTAAAAGTCCACTTGGCATGGGGTTGGCAGGCTCCCTACTTGGCTCCACACAGCTCCCGGGAAGCGGCGACGTGTCCCTGCAGCCCCTAGGCATAAGGGCAACCACGGGGCCTCTGTGCACTGCCCCAGCGCTTCCCTGAGCACCGGCTCCGCAGCTCCCATTGGCCAAGAACCACGGCCAATGGGAGCTGTGGGGATGATGCCTGTGGGTAAGGGCAGCGCGCACGCCACAGAGCTGCCTGGCCGCCCCTACGCCTAGTAGCTGAGGGACATGTTGCTACTTCCAGGGAGCTCCCCAAAGTAAGTGCCGTACGGTACCTGCTCCCCGCACCCCCTCCCGTGCCCCAACCCCCTGCCTCAGCCCTGAGCCCCCTCCTGCACCCCAGGCCTGTCATCCCCTGCCCTACCCCAGAGCCCGCACCCCAAGACGGACCCCTCCCCCCACACCCAAATCTCCTGCCCCAGCCCGGAAGCCTTCCCCTGCCCCCATACATCATGAACCCCTCGTTTCTGGTCCCACCCCAAAGCCCGCACTCCCAGCTGGAGCCCTCACTCTCTCCCGCACCCCAACCCCTGCCCCAGCCTGGTAAAAATGAGCAAGTGACTGAGGGTGGGGGAGAGTGAGTGACAGAGGGATGGAGTGAGCGGAGTCTCAAAGGAGCAGGACCTTGGGGAAGGGGCGGGGTAGGGGATGAGGAAAGGGTGTTCGGCTTTGTGCGATTAGAAAGTTGGCAGTCCTAGTAAGAGTTCTGATCCCTTTATTACCAAAGGGACTTTAAGTCCCTCTAGAAATTTCACAAGCGTAATCTTTCTCATTAAGCTTTAATTACTTCATGGTGTCACTAGGGTTTGCTTGTAGGGTTTCTGTTTCTGGACAAAGGCAGGTAGGATCCTTCCCCTAACTGTAAACAACCCAGTTAGGGGAAGGATCCTACAGGACTGAAACTTTCTGGACTTCGCCAAATCAAGCTTTGGGGAGAAGATTCAAGCAGGCGTCCCACGTGCTCCTCAGTTAAAGCAGCTCTCCTTTTCCCTTTGCTTAAAGGACACCCAAGAAATGACTTCGCTTTTAGCAGCCTCTGTAGCTGAGTAGGCCTCGATGTTTGAATATTCTGGGTGAGCCTCCTTGTTGCTGCTGGCCAGTAGAAGTCCCATTTTTCCCTCTGTCCCTACGGCTGTCGAGCTTTGTATGAAACAAGTATGTCTGTGATTTGTGTTCCTGCTGAGCTAATGAGAAAATTCACAGATAATGTGTAGATTTCATGAAATATTCAAAAGGTCTCTGAACATTTTAAATAAAAACTTTTTCCCCTCCCCCCCCAAACAAGCAAGAGGACTAATCCGTCTCTGTTTTTCCTTAGGAAGCTGCACAGTGGTATGAAGACTTATGGATGTGAGTTGTGTGGGAAACGATTCTTGGATAGCTTGCGGCTCCGAATGCACTTACTGGCTCACTCAGGTAGGTTTAGAGACATTGATGCTGCGTGAGGCGAATGCTGCCTCTGTCATACTGACCCAAATCTATTGAAACTCCCAGACAAACTTTAAGAGTGCGCATGTGTGTAGGGTGGGGTGGTGATTTTAACCATTTTAGAATGGTAAATTATGAATATATTCCCTTTTTATTCCAGACCTAGTTACTTCAATTTTCAGAGTTTTTGTTTTTCATTCTTTAACTGGGGAAATATTTGCAGGTCCTCAGGAGTCTGGAATAACAAACTTGGACTATTGCAGTGCTGAGTGCTATTCGATTGCCTCCATCCACTTCGGCCACGATATTGGAGTGGTTTTCCTCCGTGTGTGTGTGTGTGTGTGTGTGTGTGTGTGTGTGTGTGTGTGTGTGTGTGTGTGTGAATACTGTATTTGCCACGTACAGGCACCCACTGCAGTTTCATTAGCAAAACTGTTGCAGAATTAGGCACTCCGTCTAATGAATCTAACTATTGGGTTCAAATTATGCAGGCCCTTTAATTAAATAGATATAGAAAGGTTGGAATGCTAAACTAGTGAGAAGACATTGTTTTGCAAGTTAATTTAGTCTGAAATTCCTATTGGGCATACAGCCCCATATGCAATTAGTTTTTGTATTTAAAAAAAAACCGCAGGCAGCCACTGGATCCATTTGCTCAAAGGTAAAGTGTACGTACGAATCCATGTCTCATTCATTCAAGGTTAAATCACTTAGGGTATGTTCACACTGCTCACTAAGCCTGGGCGCTTACTCAGATTTGAGCTCACGCCCCACACTTCCATCCACACACACAAATCAGTCTGAGTCGGGTCAGCAAGCACTCAGGACCGAGGTCCTGCAATACTGCTGGGGAGGTGGGTCAGAGCCCACGTCCCACTGTGACTCGGGTCTAAGCCCTGTCATTTTGCAGGTCTGGACGCAGGTCAGTCCTGAGTCAGAAGGTCTGTGTAGCGCAGTATGGATACATTAGTACAGCTCTGAAACCTGGCTCCAGCCATCGTAAAGCCAAGTTTACAGACACACAAGTGCAGGCTTGGAAACTCTGAGTCCACAAGCCCGGGTCCCGCAGACTTAGGCTTAGTGTGCAGGATAGACATAACTGCAACACTACCAAAAAAACCTATCCGTGCAGCAGTGAGTCTGAGCCTATGTCAACTGACTCAAGCTCGGAGGACTTGTGATAGGGAGCTTAAAATAGCAGTGTAGACATCCCTGCTCGGGCTGGAGCCTGGGCTCTGAAACCCAGTGAGGGGGAACACCTATATTGCTATTTTTAGCCGTGCACTGCAGGCCTCAGTCAGCTGACCTGGGCTCTGAGACGCTGCTTTGGGGTTTGTTTGTTTTTTTTTGCAGTGTGGACACACCCTTAGGGGCCACATGAGTTTACAAGGCTGCACATTTGGAGTAATTTTGGAAGGATGCTAGCATCACTGTAGAACTTTCTGCCATATGGTCTGTAGGAATAAGCACAGGGTGGGGAGTCAGAAGGCAGTGAGTTGTAATCCTTCCTCTGCTATTCCCTCCCTATGTGGCCTTGGGCAAGTCACTGCACCTTCTGTTTGTTTGTTTTCTCTTTGTGCCTAGGAGCCCTAGTCATTGACCAGGCCCTCATTGTGCTAGGCGCTGTACAAACACAGAACAAACGGTCCGTTTCCCCACCTGTAAAATGGCGATAATTAACACTTACTCACCTACCTCCATAAAATGCTAAGTATTCTAATCCCTGCCAGTGCTTTAAATAGTGACTGGTAACAAGTATGAGAGACCAGATACAGGATAATTCTCTAACTCGTGTTCCTGCATCTCATGGAAGTGCTGTGGCTGTCCTTGTTCTTTAAGCACTGAGAGCTGCTTCTGCCATTCTGCTTGGGTCAGAGTGGGAACCGAAGCACACGCATATCTCCTAGTAGATGATCCCTGGATGGTTGATCATGGATCACTGAATCTCCTCTGACATACACCAGCAGCACATGGACTCTAGAGGTCCTGACAGGGCTAGAATAAACACAATCATTTGACCATAGACATGCAAACAAATGTGGGATAAACCACCAATAAAGAGATGGTGCACAATAAATACAATCAGTTTTTTTCAAATTCTTCACAAATTGTTTTCTGTGGAGGATGAGCACGCAATGTCTCTTATTCCTCCGTTTTTATTTTTTTTTCTGCAGTGTGTGCTTGGTCCTGGGTATTGACTGCTTTATTTCTTTTAATCTTGATTTATGAGAAATTAAACTTGGAGGGGGAAGAGGGCTGCATGTCACACGGGGAGTAAGACAGCAAGCTCTCGGGTATCATTTCAAAGCTGGCATAAGTCACCAGTGAACTGAGTTTGAGAGGATCTCAGAATAGTCTCCAAGGGTCTCTTCTCCATAGCACAGAATTACCCAGCAACATGGCATAATTGGCAGCCATTGCTTAAGGGGGAGGCATGTGGTTGGAATACGGGAAGCAGGTCATGTGTGAGATACCCCAGCAGGTCTGGTCATGTAGGGGCTTGCGCAGAGCTAAGCCGTGTTGCGCCTGGCTTTCCCCATTGCTCTGTGTTGATGGAGGATGGGCAGCTAGACTCCACAAGAGGACTCACAGTGCACATGGTGAGAATGGTTGAGGAGGGCTAGATTTTCCCATTGTGAGAATAAGGGATGATTCAGTTCCATTGTGTCCAAGCCACCCAAGTCTGGAGGGTTGTTTTGGGATTGTTCTAGTCTCTAAAAGAAATTCTCCTGACCCAGTAAGAGCTCACACCAGTCCCAGCTTTGAGAGCCTGGCCCTAAATTAGCTGAACTTCCAGCTGTCCTGTGGGGAGGTGTTAGGTGCAACTTAGTACCTCCCCTGAGAAGGGCATGGATTGGGGGCGTGGTGCTGTTGGGAGATGGATGACAGAAACTGGAGCCAGGAATCATGCAGCTGCTATACAGGTTTCTTCCCAGAGCTCTGGCAATTCACCTTGCTCCCTTCCTCTGGCATCTCTACCCCTTTACTTATGGGCCTCTCCTCAACACTTCGTGTCAGGTGCATGAATGGTCTCTGGAATACCAATGCACCACAGAACCCCACTGCATAGTAACCTGGCACAAATACTGAATGGTATTGCAGTAATACCTAGAATGCTTGTGTGCTAGGCGCTGTACAGACCGAGCGAAGATCTGTTCACTGTTCCTCCTCTCTTGGCTGACTCTGAACTCCTGGTGCATGATGGTGATAGTAGTCAATTTATTAGGCTATCTGCCACGCCTGGATCCTCCCACATGCATGAGTTTGGCATTCCAAATGGAAATGAATCCAGCCGCTGTTTAGCTATATTTCCTTGACACCCCACCTCTTAAAAAAACCAAGAGCAATAACTCTAGTGCTGCTTCTTTCTTCTGTGTTTCCTGTACCTAGGCTAGTGTTCCTTCATATATATATCTGAGAGTCAGCTGTGACTGGCTTTATAAAGAGAGTCCCGTTATAGATTTTATTCTAAAAAATACTAGATATAAATCAATGAAAAGAAAATGGCCCCGTTTTATTTCTGCCTTTTAAGGCCTGATCCTGCACGCACTTAACTCAGCATGATCCTAATTCTCAGGAGTAGGCAACTTGCCCCCCTTTGTCCTCACAGTAAAACGCACTACTCCCAGCAGTAAATATTTGCAGGATTGGATCCTCTGATTTGATGCCATTTTAATTGGGCCGGATTCTGACCGGCATTACGGTCAGGTGTAGATTCCCGGAGTCGCTCCCCTGAAGCCAACGGAGTGAATCCAGGTCGCACTTCCAGTGCTTTAGGCAATGGTGCCAGCTGTCTGGTGATGAATATACGCTGTCTGGGGAGGGTGCATCGCTTGCCGCCTCTGAGGCCCTGGTTAATGCCTGGCATTGTGGCAGGCCGCGTGTACTGCACTTAGCATCTCAGCTGTGTTTTCCCTTCCCCCCCCCCTCCTCCTCCCCCTTTTTTGGCTTGCGCTGCCTGTGTTTGTTGTTGTCGTTTTGGCCCCGTGCCAGTCGCTGGCTGGCTGCCAGCCTTGTGGGTACAGTATGTACAGTGAACGTTGAGCCAAGTTTGTCATCATACAAGATTAATTTTTTTTCTAATCTGTCTGGGGTTGGGTGAAATCGGAGGGGGGGAGAGGCAGAAGGAGCGGTTTGAACGCTCGAAAACAGCCGCATTAAATTCCAGCACTGTTATTTATTAAAACACGAGACCTTTGCGCCTCTTATTTCCCCCCACCCCGCCCCCCCATGAAATGAGGTCGTATTGGAGCCACAACGTGAGTTCATATTTTCAGTGACTAGCATACTAAAATTAATCTCCTAAATCAGTTTTCATTGCCCAAATTGACAATTTGTTTAATTAGAAATTTGCCCTGTAGGAGACCCTTACGACTTGGGGTCCCCCCCGCTCCTCAAAAGGCCTTAGATGATGGCAGTAGTAAATGTTCAGTTTAATTGACGTTTTTTCATTTCAGTAGTAATGTGTTCAACTAATCAAATGTTTGAGGGATACCCGATGATAAAGAGAAGTTTAATTAACGAACAATAAACTTAATGAATTAACTAACGAGATTGTTCTGGCCCGTCCTGGTTCTGTGACTCCTATCGAGGTCATATTGCACTGTAATGGGGGGTGGGGGGGTTGGGGAGGGATGAGCACTAAATCGGTGCTTATTTTATAACATACAGTTCAATGCATGGCTTCTTTCACATACATAACCTGCTGTCAGTTTCGGTGATGTGCTGGGGGAAATCTTTTTGGGGGGTTTCCTGTCGATGGGAAAGGAGAAATGCTCTGAGGCAGCTTTGGGAGATTAGTTTTTCCTCTTTCTCCCACTTTTAGATTTCTCTGGGAAGCTGAGAGACTGTGGGGCCAGATCCTCAGCTGGTGTAAGTAGACATCGCTCCAGTATCTGGCCCTCACTCTCTGAACTGAGCACCAGTTTCTACCCGTTTTATTTAGCGAGGAAAAGAGCCAGGGGGTGAATCTGCATTGTTGCCACCTC